GAGGACAAGGAAAGTATTTCTTTTTGAAATAAACTGACAATAGTGAGCTCTAGTTGATGAATAAATAAATAGTGTTTGCAGTTTTGGCTTGGCCCAATAAAGAAACACTGAGGTTAAGTTGCATTCTTATGATAAAAAAGAGTCAACTCGACCAATTTGAAAGAAGATTTTACTAGCCCATGTCCAAAAGTAATATATGATATTTAGCAGAAGTGAACTAACATTTAAACACATTCATACACAAAACACGGTCGCTGCTATGAACTTGTATTGCGAACATCTCTGGTTGCATCATCGCTCTTTGTAACGCTAACGAAATAAAACGTACCTTGAGTGATCATTCTCGTATCTCATAATCAATCAACAATCAACAATCAATTTAAAAAAACGTTCACGTCGCGGTCGCGATATGAACGAGGACGCTGAGTCTGATCAAGACTAGAGGCGCGATGGTTAGGGGCAACTGACTCGCGCTCACCGGGCGGGAGAGAAGCCGAACGAACGAAGTGAGGTCAATGACCTTGCTCGGCAACAATACAACTCGAGGCAGCAGCTTCACAGCCAGACGGCCAGACGCCAGAGTGGTGCGTGCGGTGCGTTGCTCGTTTTGGCGCGCGAGACGTCTTGTTCGTACAGAACACAACAAACCTAGATTTTTTTGCGTAAATATCTGCTGTCGTGTGATAACCAAAGCCACAAAAATGTCTGAACAGAAGTACAGGAGTCTGTACAAACAGTACAAAAGAAGGTATTTGCAGATGGCTTTTGAAAATAAAAGAATGGAGGCTGTCTTGCAAGGGTAAGTGAGCGAATAGTTTACTTTCATTATGTTTTAATGTGCAATATGCAAGTTGCTAATGGAAATAGAGCCTTATATTTAGTAATGCATACCCTCAAATAGATCTGTTCTAACACTAACATTATTTTTACAGTTGTAGGAATTTGCTGAATGGCTCTTTTGATCTTGGTATTCAACGTCAACGTGTGATGGTATCAACTCCCAAAAGTTCTGAGTCATTGCCACGAAAGCTGTGCTTCTCAAGTGTTGATGAAACCAGTTCAGACAGTGATAGTGCTATACTTGAGAGCGGGGCAAATAAATGGGAATGTCTCTCCGATAAGGATAAAGATAGGTAACTAAATTTAATGAGAAAACGGGCAGAGTTAGTCATATATCAGTATGTCTTACACCGTACTTTTATACAGGCTGAACTATAGTCGTTCCAAGAACACACCTCCTGCAGAACTGGACGAAACTTACTACGAGCCTGCAGAAAAAAATAAATGTGACAACACCAATGAGAGAAGCGTTCGGAAAGAAGGTGCAACCACCAACACCCCCAAAAGGTAGAAAAGAATTTTGATTTATGAAATAGTCAAAAACAGAATATAAAGAATAATCGATAATCTCAATAAGAGAGTAATTATTGGTTTTATATTTACATGAATCCATTGCTCAAATTTTGTTTTATCTCATCTTTTCAGGTCCAACACTCCTAATAAGAAGTATGAGACTAGGTCGAACACGGCCAAGACACCTCAGAAACTGGTTAAGAAGAAACCAAAAAAGAAAACACCAGAGTAAGCATTATAACAGTAGAGAAAAATATGTATTTCATCGCATATTGACACAACAATAATTGCATACATTCAATTTCAGACATGTATGCAAGTGGCCACGATGTGAAGAGCATCATAAGTTTCGTGTTTCAAGTGTAAGTATAAGATGAGAAGGTATCAGCAATTTCTATGAACTGTTCCATAATCGAACCATGTATTGTCCTTCCAGAAGCGAGAATTGGAAAAGTTGTCGCCCAAAAGTAGGAAAATGGCAACAAGAGACAGAGTACCATCACCAAAAAGTATGTAGATTCTTCAACATCATACATGTTTTATAAAGAACAATGCTGATTCTAAATAAATGTGTATTTACCAGATTATTGGGATTTGAACATGCCCTCCACACAAGAAATACGGTCCAGAAATCAAGAACTTGATTAATGAAAATGTCTACCTGTCAACAATAGATTTTGTGTGGTGTATTATAATTTATATTTTCTCTCAGAATTCACTATTGTCTTTACGTACCTTTTACTGCTAAGTGTTATTCCTGCTCAATTTTTAATTTTAACTTAAAATTGTAACTTTTGAGTGTACTAGTGTTCAGGTCATGTGTATGAATCTTATATTTTTAACTTGTTGAAATTGTAGCTTCTGTTATGAGAGTACTATGTGTTCAAGTCCTGCATGAATTTTATTTATTTAAATGTTGCTTCTTAGCTTATTTGTAATTTGACTTGATCTTTAATTTAAATGTATAGATGCATGATTTAATACAATATCCTTTAGTACTGGTGTAACTCCAGCGTTATTGTTAGTTTTATCTTGATATTGTAACATTGTAACCTATTATCTGTTGATTTACAAACTCATTTTCCTTTATTGTTTGGTTGCGCACACTTGTAAAATAAAATAAAACAACAGTTGAACACGTCTATTATCTTTACTCGGAAACTCCCTCTTCTAAGTTCCTCGGCTTTCCCACAAATCAGAGCTGCTTCCTAGAAAAATAAAAGACAATCGGTTAGATTGGTAAAATAAAAACACTAGCTTACAAATTAGCTACATGATTTGCTTACCAGAGTTCAGATTTAGAACTGCGACACCAAAAGGGGGAAATGGGGGGGGGCGAGCGCTGCGGGTCCAAGACGCCCAGGTCGTCGTCCTCGCGCTGTAGCCGTACCTGGTCCGGCCTAGTGCAGGTGGCGTCACCGACGGCGAGGGAGCGTGGGCCGCGGGGGCCGCGGCCGTGTGCTGCGGGTCCAAGACGCACAGGTCGTCGTCCTCGCGCTGTAGCCGTACCCGGTCCGGCCTAGTGCAGGTGGCGTCGCCGACGGCGAGGGAGCGGGGCCCGCGGGGGCCGCGGCCGTGCGCTGC